AGCCAGCATGAGGGAGCCGTGCCAGGACAGCCCGGAAGGGCAGGGGCTCGCCGGGCTGCAGGAGCAGGCCAGCCGGCAGCCCAAAGCGTGTCACTGCAGCCTTGTTCTCAGCATCTCCCGAGGCTGGCACTGAAGAACTGCTCCCGCGTTAGGCGGAGGCGCAGCAGGCCCAGAGCTGCACAGAGCTGCCACTGCGGCACGGGGCCGGAGCAGCCGCACGCAGGAGTCAGCGCCCTGGCAGCCTCAAGGACAAAATCCACCGAAATCTTCCCTTGAGCATCTCCTGTGGCAGTCACAGGCCACCAAGCCGGGCTTCCCGCAGCCGCAGGGACAAAGGCAATGGACACAAGTGGCACAAGGTATATTCCAGTGTGAAAGAAAGAAAAACATCCTTCACAATGAGGGCAGTTAAGCCATGTCCATCCTTAAACATTGTCCATCCTTAGAGATTTTCAAAACTTATCCGGACATGGCTCTTAGCAACCTGATCGTTATTAGAAGCTCACCTGCCCTGAGCAGGAAGCTAGACCAAATCATCTCCAGAGGTCCATTCCAACCTAAAATCTTCTTGAGTCTCTAGAAACAGAAGGAAGCACCGCAGATAGGTACTGCAGTGAACTGCCTTTTTACAGGAATTACAACACAAACATGGAAGTCTAAACAAAAGCTCCCAAAGACTATTAATACATACAAATAACTATCATAAAGACATTATAACAGTGTCTTAATTGAAATACACAAACTAATATTGTTGCAGTCTTTTAGAAGTTATAAAAATATTAAGACAAAAAAATTCTATAACTTGATCATTTGCCTAAAGCATCAGTCAAAATTAAATTGATAACTTATAAGAACAATGACTTCTGCATCAAAAGAGAAAGGATTTAACCAAATTCATAAATGTGCTGTCATGTTTCTTACCTTATTTACAAGAAGCTGTGATCAGCTGGTCCTCCTAACACTCAACCTCCCACCAACACCCAGAGCTAAAAATCTGTAAAAACGGACTTCAGCCATAGATATCTAAGTATACCTTTAAAGTTACAAAAAATAAACCAAAAACACACCCCCAAATATACAAATACAGACAAAGCAGGGGGAAAGAATAGCAAAGTACAGTTTGTAGAAGTAGAGAAAACAGATAAAGTGTCAAAAATTCTGTTACCCAGACAGTGTGAGTTACAGTTCTGCGAAACAGACATCAGGAGAAAACTGAAGGGAGAAAAGCAAACATCACTATCTCACTTCAATGTTTCTGCATATGAGATGTAAAAGTTTAACCCTAGGTGGCAATATAAAGTTTCAAAAATCCTATGAAGGCAAAAGAAAATAGACTTTTCAGCTGGTGAGGGGAAAAAATCCTAGATTTTTGAGGAAATGGTTTAATTTAATTTTTTAAGAAAAATTAATTCATTAAACCATTCTAAACCAGAAACTGTATTTATAATTACATTTGTTGGACTATTGCTGAAAAGCATATCAGGGTTAATACATAAATCCTAGCAAGATTTTCAAGAACCAAATTGATTCACAGGACCAAAGTATTAAGATATTATCTTTGTGAGTATTTGAATATGAATTTACTTTTTAGAGAGATAAAATACTTCATTGATGAAAATATTTTTCAAAAACAAGTCATTTGAGCAGGAATGGTACATTACTGAAGTGTTTTTATTTGTGCCAAATAATTGCCAACTGACATGAAGGACGATCATGACAAAATTTATTACTTTATCATTCCTGGTGTGCACTGGACACATTAGAACGCACCAAACAACTGAGTTTAATGAAAGCATATCCTGTAACAGCCAAAGATTAAACTTTCACAGAATATTACTGTGAAGCTTCTTTAAAGTGTTTCTGAATAATAATCTTTTAATTGTCTTTAAACAACATCTATATGAATGAATCAATGTCATTGACTACTGTGTGCAACTGATCCCAGTCTGCCAGCCTTTTGGGGCTCCCCTAACTGGTATTCTGCTATTGTTTCCCCTGGCTGCTCCATTTGAAACGAGCCAGCAGCCTAAAGCAGGAAGGCCAACTGTTCCCCTAGTACTAACAAATGTGCTAATATGCACTAGTTTAAACTTGATCTATCAAGTGAATCAGTGAACCATGAAGGGTGGTGGGTCAATCAGGGTGTTCTGAAAACAAAGGCTCCTAGGGCAGCAGAGACGCTGTGCTCAGACATACATCTGTGCTGCTTTCAGGCCCCAGCCTTAGGAAAATGGGTTTATGTTACAAAAGTTAAGAGCCTGGAATCATGTCATTACCACCTACATTTATAAATACTTTATACAACATTAGGAATATTATACATGAGAAAAACTAACAATATTAGACAGAGTCACTGATGTAACTATGGAGACACCACTGTTAATATTAACTAAGCTAAGTTAATGTTTAACATTAATGGTTTAATTAAAACTTCATGCATGAAGTTTCAGGCTTTCATATCAAATCCCCTTGTGATAGATAATACAGAACAGTAGATAAAAATAAAATGCACTTTCTGCTTATTTTGCTACCTTATCATTTATTCCTAACCACATTTACAGTCTTTTGTTAATTTACAAAATTTTTAACTAAAGCTTTTTCAAATCAGCTGTTAATAAGTCTTATCTTGTTTTAAAAAATGGATGAGCATTGACAACTGTCCATTTTCTCTCATTTTTGAGCCTGCCTCAACCCTTTCAGAACCACTGTGTAAAGGATTGCAAGATGTGCAGAGGATTTCAGATGAAACAGTGAATTCTACTGACACAGTGAGTTCCCACATGCTATGCCTATGAATCCTGTACGAAAAGATGAGATGTATAAATGGAAATCACAGAGTGGGGTGTGCACCAGGGCTGACACGAGGGGACAGCACACTAGACCCTCTCTAAGCTGCCCTTTGGGGCCTTACAGAAACCAGCCCAGAGCCAAGGCTCCAGAGGTGCATGAGGATGGCAGTGGTTATCTCACAGCAGTTTAACACACATGTGATGTACAGATCAGGTTTCAGGAACACTCTATCAGTGAGCAAGCTCTTCATATCTAGCTGGCATGCACTGGAACAGCAGCAACAGCAGGCAGAAAATAGGAACGAACTTAAATATGGGAGGATGGTGGCACATATATTTTGTTATCCTGTCATACACACACAGAAAGAATCATAATAGCAGTCACTGTAACTAAATTCTAAACACTTATATCTGTGTGTGCTCACTCACATGATAACAGGCTTCATAAAAAATTATAGCTCAGTTAAATTTTAAATTGAAGTACTCTGAACAAAATCAAAGTAACATAGGACACTCACTGTGAAGATAACAAAAATTAATAGGGGAAAAACACGTATGAAATATTCATGCCAGACACAGATCACACTGTAAAAAGGAAACTGTGTACATGAAACTTATAAAATAAAATACAAAAGGTATTTATAAAATAACTTATATTTTATAAATATATTTTATATAAAATATATTTATAAAATAATTTTTTTTAAATCTTGATTAGAAACCTCCAGATAAACTTTGGCTCATATTATCACCAATAAACTTGCTATTGTTGTTCCCTAATTAATGTATATGCATAAAAACCTAAAAACTTGTCAAAGGTAAACAAGCATAAATTGCATTTATCTGCAGAGGAAACACACCTGTCAGTAATATGTATTCCCATTTGTCAGAATGTCTAAATATTACTGACCAAATATGGGGTTTTTTTCCTACTTTGATAAATCACCTGCTTTTACTTTGATCCAGCCCAGAAACAATAAAAAAATCCTTCAAATAAATAATGTAGCAGTTAATGAAAAATCACTTTATGATCAGACAGACTGAGGAGGAGGGAGGATAGGGAGGTAATATTTACTGTTTCAGAAGGATAAAACCAGAAGCAGCCAATTTGAGTTCATTAAAAAGAACTATTACAAAAAAAAAAAAAAAAAAAAAAAAAAAAAANAAAGAAAAACAAGAAAAAAGCTGCAGCAAAAACTATGAAAATCTTTTACTGTTTTACACAGAAATATCAGCCACTGAGAAATCAACAGAACACAGCTGCATTGTATACTTTTAGTTCAGACTTAGAAGAATTTACACATTAGCAACTGGTATGATGAGGGTTTCATTTGGTTATATTTATGTCTCTGAGTCCTGTTTATTCCTGAAGTAGAAGGCTGATCAGAGATCCAAGAAACATCTGTACAAGGTCTGAGCTTCTGGAGAAAGACTGAAGCAAGAACTAGAAACAGCATTGCACAGAACACTTTTTTTTCCGGTTCAGGTGGCTTCCAATTACAAAGCTATAAAACAGAGGCTGCACCTTGAGGTCAAGGCAACCTGAGCTGGAGATTCTACAGCTTTTTTTTTTTCTGTGACCATATGGTATCACTGCTCCTGATAGATGGAGAGTAATCTAGGAACAAAACAGACATTTGCTCCTTATGCAAATGTCCTTGCCTTTATGGGTAGCTGGAGATCTACAGGAATCCTGGCACTTCTGCAGATTGAGATACCTCATGATAAAGTCTTTCAAAAGGGGAAAAGGAAAGGCACTTCCCATCTTCATTGGGAAAATCCAAAGCAAACAAACAATGCAAGAGTGCACCATTAATAACTTATGTTGTTTCTTTAATATTTGCTTGTGAAACTTTAGTAGAAGCACACCATAAATTCTTATTCAAAGTGTTGTTACAAACACTACAGATGTACAAGATTTGAATTCCATAATCTGGCTCAGTCTTAACAATTCAACTGGAGTTCTAGTAGTGTGTTGCAAGATAGACTGCTTTTCTTCTGTAATAAACAAACTCATTTGCTACAATCTGTAAACAGAGACACCTTTTGGAGTTAAATCAGAGTTTGGTATTGGGGAAGGGATGTCATTTTGGGTATTTAAATCAAAAGTGTGCTACATTCTGTGCCTTTCAAATATAAACTACAGTGAAAAGCTTGAACTTGTGGGGCTCTTTTCCCTATATGGTGAATATTTTCTCTTCTTTTTGGTAGAGTTTCCATAAAATAAAAAACCCCCAACCAACTAACACTACAATTGGTTAAACAAAGCATCATGAAATTTGCATTAGCATAGGCAAACACAGAAAGATGCTTTTAAAGTAAAGAATTGCATTCCATCCCTATTGTCAATAAATTTTGTATCAAATAATGCAAGAGGAATCCTACAGAACCTTAAGAGCACTGCCACCTGTGTATTTATGATGAGGAAAGTCTCTCCCCATTAGGCTCCTAAGGAATATAGAGGTCTCAAGTGGGATTTCCTAAATCGTCACTAGAAAGTTCCTGAAGAGCTCCCAGAAGTGCAACTACTGCAGTACCATCAGGTGTGATGCAATTTCACGTGAAAATATCAACTAAATATGTTTTTTGTTTCAGAAGCAGATTTCCCAAAAGACTCTTCAGTAAGACTAAAGAAAATCACTTATTTTCAGTAGCTTCTAAAACTCTTCCAAAAATAACACCAATTTGTTTCATTTTTATAGACATATTAGTCAATTATTGTCACTTTTATAGATTTTACACTTGACCATGTACAACTTCAGTAGTAAACATTTGCCAGAATTAAGATTCCTATCTGTGTCTTAATTTCCACAGGTAAGATGTTTCTGAGCTTCAGTCAGCCTCATGTATTGCCAACAGAAATAAATGTGACATCAACCTCAATTAAATGCTTACCATTTAAAATTTCTTTCAGATGTCTAAACCATGACTGACAATGATCTTCACTTAAGTTATTTAAATGGATAGCACAGTCTGTAAGCTTATTCTCTTCTTTATTCAAGCATTTAAAAATTGTGATACCCAGCAAAGTACCACCTTTTTTCTGCCCTGCAAAGCGACGACGTTTCAGTTTTACTGAAAATACATCTTTCATTTCGATAATCTCCTCTTGAGCCTGTAAAGCCACACTGGAATCACCTGTAAGGGAAAAAAAAAAACAAAAAGAAAAGCATTACTACAGTGACTGGGAGTAACAACTAAAAGTATTGTTAGGGCTTCATCTCTAGGTTCACTTCTTGCATCTGTTCATGCTTTCATTGAAACTTATGACATATGATTTCCCTCAATCACTGGTCTTTTGTTTTACCAACTTTGTTATGTACCCAGCTGAACAAACAAAACAATTTCAAAGAGGTTATTTATTTACTCAGCTTTCTGGCGTTCAAAAAAATTAATAAAATTTCACACTCTAAGAAAGACGTTTTTAAATTCGCATTCAAAAAGCAAATTCTTTATTCTATTCACCTAAATCACAGCAATCATAGCAGTTATACTTGTAAATCATAGATTAGAAAGTGTGCTATGACCCAAGCTGACTATATGCTCCCTATATTTTTTCATTTGCTACAACAATTACCTTTTGTGTTTATAGCAGAAATGTGTCAGAAAACAGTCAAGAAAAAACAGTCAGACAAATAAGCCAAAACTGTGTTACCCATTTTTGCTTTCATTTTTGATTTATGAATTCAGTTTAGAAGGCAAGAAAAACAGTTCCAAAAAAGTTCTTGCGACAGTTCAAGATCCTCGTCCCAGGGAAGGTTTTGTTATCTTGTGGCTGTTATTTACATGGATACGGCGGCTGCAGATGCTACCACTTCATTTCCAAGTGCCTTTTGGAGATCTATCAACTGAGGCACTATGGTACAGGCTTCTCCTTTTTCTGCTCTATTGAGCTGCACTCAGATTCCTCAAAACCAAAGTCAAATACACAAACCGAAGGAAAAATATCGACCTTCCTGTAGGTATTAGATTCTTTGGACACAGAAAGAAAATTTTCCCTGCTTTCTTCATAATTACAGCAGACCTGATACAGCATATCAATAAAGGTCCCTTTCCAGCCCAAGGCAAGAAATGCTAGAAACCAGAAAACTTCCCCAAATCTAGCAACAACTCTGGATTCTCAATAGCAAAAACTGTAGCAGATTCTGTTTGATCAATAGATGATACATGCTGTACTGGAGTGTTGGGAAAACCTATTTTAATTGTCACCCAGGGAAAGATGGACAGCACCCCCTGTTCATTACACCACATGAAGATAAGGGTTTCAGAAAGTCATATACTTTTTCTGGGCAGGAAAAAATGACTTTGTCAATTCTTGTGACAATTTGATACTGGCATTTCTCAACATAATTTCTGAAAGGAGGCTATGCAGTGATCGTTTCTCTATCCAGGAATCCTGGATGGCTTCTCAGCCATGCTAACACAGCTAAAGCTCAAGTCAGTATAACTTCTCCTCACAATTCTCAACAAATCCATTTTTTTTCCTGTTCTGTATCAAATTACCTGCAACAAATAGAAGCATGACCTTGTTATAATTCCCACATATTTTTCCCAACTTGTTAGATTTTATCGTCCTAATATCTCCATAAATCAGCTACTAAGGTGTAAAACTGGGCTGAATCATTCCGCTCCTAGCAGGAATACTGGGACAAGTAAATGTTGGTGTGCATTGAGATAGTACACAGGCAAGTCCATATTTTCAGAAGTACACAGCAAATAAACAGAAGAAAACTCACCTAAATAATTTTCTTAAAACCCCCAACATAAATCCTGAAGTACTGTACACAACGGCTGAAAAAGTATTTTCAGTCAATGTATCCTTAAAAATGAGGGAACTGAGCGAGAAAAAAATACTGTATAACGGATTCCATTTGAACTAAGATTTTACAGAAACTCAAAGTGAACATTGTACAAGCAAACTTGGTACTAACATTACTAAACCCAAGATCTAAGTTTCTGTCAAAATTTGTACTGCTCTTCTAAAACATTTCAGGGTAAATAGTCTATGTAGGCCTGAAATTAAAAACTGACTGGTGAGGTCCCAAATTACCTAGAACTACATAGTTTAATATCTACATTAAAGACTTGCTTTAACTTTTAAAACAGAATTTTTGAGGGGGTCTGCTTAGGTTTTTTTCACAACGTCTCACTGTCAGACATACAGTGCGCTGAAAATGCCAGCACACAACCTCAATGTTTTAGGAGAATGGAAATATAACCACAACCATTCTGTAGCAGTAACTAAGCTGCAACTTTCATTTCCCCAGACCAATGCAAATATTCTGAGTTTGTTTTTTAAATACTTTTAAATAAATCATTCTTAAAAATAAACCATATTTTGGATTTAACTCTTAGTTTTGCTGAGGATATCATGAACTCTATTATGCCAATGTTATGAATGTGCACCAGAACTAAGTTACAAACTTTAGCCTGTTTATCCAGCACAAGTCAAGTAAAATGGAGGCCTGATAAAACACTTTTTATTCCCCACTAGCTTTCATAAAATGGCATTTAGTCTTAAGCCAGGTAAGATCTGAATTTTCTTCTCATGACTATTTCAGCTAGTTATTTACTTGTTTGTGCATCTTCCTCTTCCTCTATATTTATCAAATTCTTATGTTGCTCAGATGCACATCAAAACTATTGATATTTAAAATAAAATATTCTTACTAGTCAGCACTAGACCTTCAAAACCACTATCTGACCTTGTTAGTTCTACAGGAATACATTTCCAGAGGCATCCTGGAAAAGGATATAAACTCTAGGAATGCTGAATTGTAAAAACCTTCATCCTCAAGTTTTTCTAGAGAAAATGCTGAATTAGCTAGTAGGATGAGGACAGCCCATTTTATCTTAAAATTGTAAAGAAATCTGCATAAAATCCCAGGCATATTCTATAATTTCCATTGTCTCTGCTTACTGAAAATAAGACCATCACAAATGCAGCATAATTTTATAAAACAACCCAAATAGAGAAAATTTAAGTCATGAGCTGTATTTATAAAATATTTCTAGAATGAGGTAACAACCAAGCTTACTTTTGCAATAAAGTATATATTGTATTAGACACTTTTTAAACTTTGAAAACCGCATTGGCTCGTTAGTATTGTATTGGTTATTGCGAGCAGTTTCAGGACATTAACTGTCCTCTCACATTACTCAGAAAGATATTGGGTACCATCTGTTCTTGCAAGAGATTTAAGTGTACATCTATTAGATATCATGCTATTTATTTAATTCAGTACCCACTTCCCATTGTTGTATCTTCTGAAAAAAAAAGTCAATTTAATTACAAGGAATAAAGATAATCTCTTCTACCAGGCTGCCTTGTCATCATGAAAGCAGAGAGGGAACCTGCATAAAGTAGGTTACAAGCATTAGGAAGAGCAAAACTAACAGCACTTAACATTTAACAAAGATCTAACAAAACCAGAATATATGGCACTTTAAAAAAAAGTTACTATAAGCCAAGGGCTTGTCTGAATCAATCTCAGCACATCTGTCTGATGTAGAGCGTAAACAGGATTAGAGTTGGATTTATCTGCTTGACGCTAATTGTACTCACAGTTTCTGCACATGTCCACTTTTTTTTTTTCCAAATACAGCATGAAAAAAGAAAAACCTGCCTGGATAGATGAATTTCTAGGAAGTTTTATGCCCCTATTTGTCATCTCACTAATTTCAAGTGATGAGACTATCCTATCTTTTTCCTATTTATGGTAGTCAAATCTCTTATTTAACAAAAAAATTATCTCTGAATCAACCATACTGAGATAAATCAAAAGATGAGGAACTAATACACACAAATAGAGTTTAATTGTAAATAGTAAACCAAGTTTTAATTACTTTAGAGTGTTAACTGCCTCATGTCTACAGCAAAATTGATGAAAATATACACAAAGAAAAAGAGCATTACTACTGAAAAAATAGAACAGTTTTAAAGAAAATGTGGTATTTAAGTATAAACACCAACACTTAAACAAGGAACCACTTTTTGGACTGTTATCTTACCACAGAAGCCCAATATCTAGATGTGATACTTAAGGACTTGATTTCCATAACAAATATCTGAGTACATGGAAAATACCAGAAAACACACATGAAATGTGACTATAATTCAAGTACAAGAATTGGACACTAAGCAAAGAGTGTTATACTCCCTTGGTCACAAATGCTTCCTATGACCTTTGACAAGACACCTAGCCCTCCTGACTATAATGATTAATTAAACCTTATACACATTTTAGTCCCTCTGCCCCACTACATTTTCAAAGTTTACTTCCTTCATAGTTGATTGATACAGCTGAGTGCAGTGGAACTTAACAGAAACAATTAGAAATTTTAAAAAATCATCAAGACCATACTAAAGAAAATACAGAAATACAGTGATCAGTACTTATTATAGAACTGCTTTATTATGAAACACTTATTTATTATAACATTGATCACAGACCATCCTACACTGGATGAACACTACTTTCAATATAACAATTTGGGACATACAATAAAATATAACTATATTAATATAAACTAAAAAAGAAAAATAGAATTCTAAATATAATTATTTTTGACAGTATGTCTATAAATCTATGTTTAGGAATATTTAGTATCATGTCTAGTGCATAAAAACCAGCACCTACTAGCCCATCAGTTACTAAGCCCATTTTTCCCTCACTGTAAATCAGCAAAGCACAGAAAGCAGCATGCAGCTGATTCATAAAACCTCTACAGTTTTCAGCTACTTATTGATTAAGAAGGGCTGGCAGTGAGAAAAGCAGATATGATCTTGCCAGAAAAGCCAAGAAAAACTGCAAAGCTTTTCTGGCTATTTAGCACTTATTTAACTACTCTAAACATGAGACAGAAAAGCCATTTCAAAAAACACATGAATTTTGAATGATTTCTTATTTCAAAAAGATAGGTCATGCAACACTTCTGGCAAAATTTGATGCTATGCCTCTTACTCTCTTCTGCAAGCAGAGAAAGCAAAATTCCAGTTTCTGTTTGCCAAAAGTATCAAACATAAGCTGAGGAGAAGGTGGTACAGCCAGGGCCAGGTTGGGGAAGGGCTGGTTTTTCTTTGAAGATTAGTTTTACATTACTCTAGTCCTTTAAAAAGGTGTTACAGGAGAAGTTTA